CAACTGATGACAAAAGTTTATTTGGTAAAGCTATTAAAGCCTGTTTAAAAATTTGATGGAACTGCACAAATTCACTGTAATCTGATTTGTTACCGGTGCTGATAAACACCCTCAGCAGCCAGGTGGGAATCATATCAAAAGCACATTGAATATCTAAGCCCTGGGAATTGGAAATAAGCCCTGGATAACAACCACTGTATCATTCAGATGTATGATAGAGAGTGTTTTATGTCTCCTTAGGACACATAAATGAAGCAAGGCATGTGGGAAAGTTGCCAGAGGATTGTGTTGACTCCCAGGTGCACATAGAGATTTACAAATGCATAAGACTTGGGGCGTCGGGGGGTCAAGTTCTTACCTTGAGTAACTTCATTGACTCAGTTGAATTGCTCAAGGGATGACTTGGCCCAAGGTCTCTATCCTGGTCAGCTTAAGTCAGGCAGACAAGTATGATATGTGGGGGAAACAGCAGTTCAAAGATAGCAAGGGAATAAAATTGGCATGGAAATCAATGTAAAAGAAGTGATTAAGGAAAGATTTTGAAGAGGAAGGATGTTTAGCTTACAGGAAAAGAGAGACTGTTCCAAGTGTGGGGGCAGCATGAAACGAGATGCACAGCCAAGTGTGGGAAGGGAAAAGGGGAGCAGTTACAGGAGAGGATTTGGGAGGAACATATGGAATGAGAGGGAAAGAAGGGTGAAATTAGAGACAAAATGTAGACAGATGTGAAACTGTGAAGAGACTGGAAGTTGGGGATTAGAAGCTTGAACTTGAGGCAGTACAACAGAAAGTTAATAAAGGGATTCAAGGATGGGGAGACGTAGTTGGAATGTCAGAAAAGCAAGATGAATTTTATCATATGCATTTCAGTTATATTAGAATGTGGCAAATATAAAGAGGTTATATTTTAAGAAAAGTCGTTATCTAGACACTGTCCAGATATTTAGGAGTAGAGAATAGAGGAAAGGATGATATTTTGTGATTTTTGGAGGGAGACCTGGAGGTGTTGCAGATGAGTCTGAGATTTTGAACCTGGATTCCCAGGGAAGTGGTGGAGGTAGAACAGTCAGCAATGATAATGAAGGGTGGGAGTCTAAAGATTTTGGGAGAAAAGTTCAGTTATAGACACGTTGAACCAAATACTGAAGCAAATGTATGTAGCTGTAAGGAGCAAGTTACCCCTAGGTGGCCACATGAATTCTCTGCACCTGGCCAACCAGGGATGTTTGAGTATGTTGGGATGGAGGGGTGGGGTCACACTAACCTGCATCTGTTCTGTGGGAGGAGAACTGATGAATATGAGTACTTGACACTGATCCTTGGCCAGGCCTAGGTGACTCCAGTATTAGATGTTTAGTAGTTATAAAAACCCTAAAACAATAAGAATTCTTGTAAGGATCCACAAGACTAGAATCCAGGTGTGGGGCAGCTGACATTCTCACATCATCACTGGGAGGCCATGCAGAGCAACATCCAAAGAGCACTGTGGAGATTAGGCACTTCAGGAAGTACCGCCCAAAAGGTCCTGAGTAACAACTCCCTGTGGCCTTCTGATTGGCCCATGGTCACTATTTAACCATGGAGAGTGCTCCAGGAAGTTGTCTGGGCAGCTATGCAGGGTTCTGTGACTCCAGACTTCACGTCTCTTGCTGATTTCCAATTTCTGACCCCAGCCTGATGCTAACCCTGACTCTTGCCTCATGATTCCAGCCTGGTAGCCATCTCTGACCCTGGCCTAACTCTGACCTTGACTCTTGCCTATTGATCCTGGCTTTAAGCCATTACTCTGCTCCCTGCTCCCTGACTACTGACTTGTAACTGATACTAGTCCAGCTGTGGCTGCTAGGTCAGACCACCTATACCTGTGTGGCTGCAACAGGGGAAGGACAGAATAGGTTCCTTAATTATTTGGAGGGAGAGGATTTGGAGTCAATGAGAAGATCACTTTTTATCTCTCTGCTAATAATTGCCAAGTGGAGATTTTTGGCACAATAGCCCCAATCATTGAGTTTTCATCTGGGTGATTCTCCCTGATGCAATGTGGCCCCTTTAAGAAGGAACCTTCTCCCCACTTATAGAGTATCAGTGTACCTCTGTGACGTTGCACTCTATATGATTTTATGAAAATATGCTAATGAGTGTGAATATAATGTAACTGGACTATGCTTCATGCAAAAGGTCTCTTGTAAGGTATAATTACAAAGCTTATAATCTACTGAGTGTGGTCGTCCAATTTGTATAAATGTATCATTCTTGTATCTGAAACTAGAAATATGAAATATAATTCTGAGGTCCTATTGTAATTATGCAAAGTTTGGGCCATTAATCATAGAATCATAGACTATCAGGGTTGGAAGGGACCTCAGGAGGTCATCTAGTCCAACCCCCTGCTCAAAGCAGGACCAATTCCCAACTAAATCATCCCAGCCAGGGCTTTGTCAAGCCTGACCTTAAAAACTTCTAAGGAAGGAGATTCCACCACCTCCCTAGGTAACCCATTCCAGTGCTTCACCACCCTCCTAGTGAAAAAGTTTTTCCTAATATCCCACCTAAACCTCCCCCACTGCAACTTGAGACCATTACTCCTTGTTCTGTCATCTAGTACCACTGAGAACAGTCTAGATCTATCCTCTTTGGAACCTCCTTTCAGGTAGTTAATGATGGCTTGCAATCTTGATGGCTCCCATTAATGAGGACAGTTGGTTGTAAATGGCTCTGTTTATTTGCAAGTCTTCCCATATATGTGTGTGCTGGCAAGTGGGTGATGAAATCTTACAGTGACATGAACTGGAATCCATCTTTAACCTGGTGCTTTTCCATTTAGAAGGAGGGGTGGGAATCCAGAGAGGGACAAAGGATTCCTGTCTTGTGCAAAAGATGTATAAGAGGGTGGAACAGAACAAAGGGGGCGGCAGTCATGATAAATCCCCTAGCTACTACCTGAGCTGGAACAAAGACTGTACCAGCCCAGGGGAAAGGATTGGGCCCAGACTAGAAAGGAGTCTAGTCTGTGAAAGAAACTTATTGGAACATCTCTGAGGGTGAGGTTTCATCTGTAATCAGTTTCTTACTGTATTAGGCTTAGACTTGCATGTTTTTGTTTTATTTTGCTTGGTAATTTGCTTTGTTCTATCTGTTATTACTTGGAACCACTTAAATCCTACTTTTTATATTTAATACAATCACTTTTTGCTTATTAATTAACCCAGAGTAAGTAATTAATTCCTGGGGGAGCAAACAGCTGTGCATATCTCTCTATCAATGTTATAGAGGGCGGACAATTTATGAGCTTACCCTCTATAAGCTTTATACAGAGTAAAATGGATTTATTTGGTGTTTGGATCCCATTGGGAACTGAGTGTCTGGGTGCTGGAGACAGGAGCACTTCTCAAGATGTTTTCAGTTAAGCCTGCAGCTTTTGGGGGATGTGGTTCAGACCTGGGTCTGTGTTTGCAGCAGGCTAGCGTGTCTGGCTCAATAAGACAGAGTACTGAAGTCCCAAGCTACCAGTGAAAATGGGCTCAGAGGTAGTCTCAGGACATCAGGTGGCAGTCCCAAGAGGGTTTCTATGACCCAACCTGTCACAACCTCACTGCATCCTTCCCAATGCCCTGACTGCTAACTGTGGACCAGCCTGACTGTAGATGGCAGTTGGGCTGGGCAGAGAATAAATCAGTTGACTATGTAGCTGCAACATGACTCTTTGGGGGATCAGCATTGACTTCTGTGATAGGAGAGCTGAGAGCATGTAGGCTGCACAGTATTGAAGCAGCTGGGACAGTTACAGGATATCCAGGAGGAAAAAGTAACCATTAAACTTATTGGTTCTCAGAGTTAATGTTTATCACATTCCAGTCATTTTGTTCCCAAAGCACATTATAATGTTGTAGACATTAAAGAGCAAACGACTGGCTTAAATGGAGGGTCTGTAAACCTCTGCTTTGTTTGGAGACTTACAGCTGAAAGCTGTACAAATCTAATCATGTGTCCACTCTGTGGGTCTTTTTTTGACCTAAAAGTACACATCTCGGAGTTTCAGTGTTTATGAGGATTGATTACAGAGGGATGTTGAAAGTTAGACTCCAAAGCATTTTCAATAGCTCCAAAATAAAGATCAGAAATAACACATGCATGTGTCTTCACTACAGTGCTAAGGGAGGGTTACAAATTGTGAATGCACTCAACTTGTATAAAATCAGCTGTATTGACTTATACAGGGCTCTTAATCATTTAACACTTGAGAGGGCAAATATAGTACTATTTTTAAAAATACTAAATGATTTGCACCAATAGCTACTAGGGTATGTTAAACAATAGTTAAGAGGCCAGTAAAAAGAGTTGCATTTTTATGACTTATTCCCAGCAAAATTAAAACAAGAGTACCCACTCTGCTGAAATTACTGATTAATACTATATGTGCTCCAAGCCTTCAGACTGCATTTAGCTATTTTTACAATACAAAGGGATATTGCATACAAAGCTAAAGTGAGTGGAGTAAGAGCAGATATACAGCATGTCATTTCCATTGGGTCTGAGGGGTTTTGGGTGGGGGGACAGGAGGAGGGACTTTGTTCTATATTGTTTCATTTATATAGCAAAAATTGATTTTAGGTTTTTGGGAATTTGGAGGGAAGGGGCACTGGGGACTGACGGTTGGGGAGACAAGGGAATTGTTGGATTAGAAGGGGGATTTGATGGAGGGGCGGGAGGTAGAAAAGGAAAAGGAAGGTGACCCATATAATGGACAGCGAGAGAGAGAGGTTGGAGAGCTGAAGGGCTGCAGTATAGGAGGGGGCAAGAAGGAGGAGAACCAACTAACAATGGGAATACAAGCAAGTGATAACAGTGGATTTTCACTGGGAGTTTTGCCTGGATTGGGAGTGCAGGATTGGACCTTAAATCTATAAACAATTTTTAACTGCAGTTTATGTAAATAGTGTTAAATCCATCAAAACTAGAAATGTTCCTTGAACTTACACTGTGTACTATCTTACTTGCAGAAGCATGATGGACACTTCACAGTCATCCAGCTGGTTGGCATGCTTCGTGGAATCGCATCTGGCATGAAGTATCTCTCAGATATGGGCTATGTTCATCGTGATCTGGCAGCCCGTAATATTTTAGTCAACAGTAACCTCATGTGTAAAGTCTCTGATTTTGGTCTGTCACGAGTGTTAGAGGATGACCCTGAAGCTGCTTACACCACAAGTGTGAGTGTCTCTTATCTAATTTGAACAGTTTATTAAGTTGTGTCAACTGCATTTGTTTTATTCCTGTTTCAACCGCATTTGCGCCTCAGACATAGTAGTCCGGATTGACTGTTTTGTTTCATTAATAGTGTGTGGGGTTTGGATAACTGGGCTGCTTTTTAAAAATGTAATCTTCATTGAAGGTTTTTAAGTAATGCTTAAGCCGCCAGTTTTCTTATCAACCAGCGTTTTTCTCTTCTCTCTCTCCACTCCCTTTTTCCCCACTGTAGCAGAGTGGTCTATCCAGTCAGCAGGCTTAGTGGTCAGGGCCTGCTGCTCTAGTCTTTCTCTCAGTTCAGTGTGTGAGGGACCCCCTGAACAGGGTTCAGCTGGGTCAGCTTTCTTGTCAGTAGCACCCTAGTCCTGCCTGTCCTAGGACTAGGCATAGGGGAATCTGGAGGTGGTAGAGTAGCCCAGGTCCTCCCATTCCACCAGGTCCCAGGCTAGGGCCCTGAAAGTGTGACAGCACCGCCTGACCTACACTTGGCCCACCTCCTGTTCACCTTCCCCAGCCTCTTCCTACCCCACCCAATGTCTCAGTTTGGGGCACGGCTGCTGTTTGATAATAGTCCTTGTTCCAAACCCCCAGAGTCTTGGACCTGATGCAGGAAACCCTCTGGTGCCCGGCACACAGTTCTCCCTATATCTGGAGGGTGTGGGGGGAACCTCACAGCAGGGCCACCTCAGTAAGCACTCCTTCACCTCCTGGAAATGGTTTCTCTCCACCCCCACTACCTGGGCTGCTGGAGCTCTTTTTATACTTCTCCTTTCCCCAGGAACATGCTTGCCAGTGCCTGAGGGGCGGAGCCTTCCTGGCCCAGCACTGCTCCAGCTTTTTTCTTGTCTTGGCCTTAGTGATGGGTTTGTAAACCCCATCACACTCACCCACAACCCCAGCATAAATTTGCGAAGACATGCCTTTTTAAAAAGTGAACAAAAATTCTTACTGATTCCTTTGAACCACATGAAACATTTGGTCATTGTTTTCCATGTAAAATCCATTCTGACATAATTGGATCATATGCAAGTCTTTATACTGTGTTTGTGATCACCTTTATTAAGCACTCAGACATTTAGCAATTTCATATGGACTAGCTTGTTTTTGAACTATATGGTAGTATAGCAATATGTTGACTTATTCAGTCCCCTTAAAACCTTTAACAAGCTTGCTAGTTTATAATTTTTCTTCACAGGTTATTCCCTCAGTATCAAATTAATAAAAATATCTTGTGTTAACTTCTTGTGGCCTTTTTAAAATTAGAGACATGGGATAACTTACTACGTTGTTAAAGTTATGGATCCATCTACTCAAACATGAATCACAGTTTAGCTTTTTTAACATATTTTTTCAGCTGTTAACTTTGTTTTGTTCATTGGAAAGTTTGCCAGCATCTTCTTAATGGCATTTTTACACATTTCTGTGATGAAGCCATGCAGTGTTGAGGAAGATTAAGTTGATCTTGTATATTTTTTGACGGATATTGGCATCCAATGATCCATTGACATTATCTAAAATCTTCTGAAAAGTATCTTACGAGAGATCTGAGCTCATAGGGACTCAGGAGTCTGGAACTCCCCTTCAGTGGGAATTCCATGAGTGGAAGAGCTGAAGGATCAACACCCACCCATCCCCTGCATTTATACTTCAAATATCTAATTATGTTGCTCAAGTTTACCATCTGAAAGGGAACTGACCTTGTTTTCAAGGTTTAAGCCTCTTCACATTAATACTGAAGTGCATTATGCTATAAAAGTAAACGTTGGCTATAATGAAGAATACTTTTTTTTAAATTCTCAAACCTGGAGAACACTGTTCAAACTTGACTTACAACATATAAGATATACAGGATGTGCAATATGAGGGGAATAAGAAATTGAGTATGTTGGTGTGTCGACAGAAGTTCCATGCTGAATGACAGTCTTTTCGGTACAATAAAATTTTAAGTCCCATTTTATAATGATTACTAACATTAAGAATCTTAACTAAATATATGCTCATTTCAAATAATGTTAATCTGCAACATAGAAATTAAAATGATTACACAAATACACAGCATATTCTAATTAATAGAGTATCCTTCCAGAATGCCCATAAGGATCAGAGACAAAATGACAGGTTTCAGAGTGGTAGCTGTGTTAGTCTGTGTCAGCAAAAACAATGAGGAGTCCTTGTGGCACCTCAGACTAACAAATTTATTTGGGTATAAGCTTTCGTAAGCTAGAGCCCACTTCATCAGGTGCATCTAGCCCACGAAAGCTTATGCCTAAATAAATCTGTTAATCTCTAAGGTGCCACAAGGACTCCTCATTGTTTTTGCAGAGATAAAATGGCTACTCGACCTATTCCTTAACATAGTTTCAGTTTAAGAAGTGGTTTGCAGCCACAGTGTGGAACTGATCTAGTGTATTGTAATGACTATTCTGTTTGTCCTGCTGAATTCACTGCAGCGGCCATAATAGGCCTAGAGTTTTGTAAAACAACAGGTTTGTATGTCTATTTGGTTTTAAACCAAAGAATGGTTTTTGAAATTCTACATGCTGACATTCTTTCAAAATGTTGCTGGCATTTACTGAAAGCGTTTCAGCACACTGAAAAAAATTAAAAGAAAGTCAGATATATCCAGGCTCAAAGTTCTTGTAATACACCACTTCCAGCATTAATATTCTATACACAAAAAACTCATGAAACTTTGTAGTTTATTCCATTGTAAATGTGCTTCACTTGTTTATTTCTTAAACCCTCCCACTGAATATTGCAGGGGTTCTCAAACTGGGGGTCGCGACCCCTCAGGGAATCGTGAGGTTATTATCTGGGGGGTCGCGAGCCGTCAGCCTCCACCCCAAACCCCACTTCACCTCCAGCATTTATAATGGTGTTAAATATAAAAGAGTGTTTTTAATTTATAAGGGGGGGTCGCACTCAGAGGCTTGCTGTGTGAAAGGGGTCACCACTAGAAAAGTTTGAGAACCACTGGAAGATAGTGATGGCTGGAGGAACAGATGCGGGATTACTTACTGCTTTTATTCTTAAGGCAAGTTATGACTGGTTAAAACCACTGGGAAATGGTAGACCATTTAACCAAAAATAGGAATTTTCCCCTATTCAGTGTAAAAAAATCATAGAACCTTAGAAAGTTTTCAACTGCTTTATCTATTCAATAGATTTTAACAGATATAACTATTGAGCAATTGTTCCATATGTTTCATAGAGCTTTGATTTTATTATATGCCTGCCTTTTTGGTTGTAGTATTGTAGTTTTGCAATAATGAGGAAAATCATTGTAAAATCATGACATGCTTTAGACTACAGCACATATGTCAGATATTTTTATGTCTGTTTGGTCAATCATTCACACTGGGTAGAGAGTTGAACAATGATAGCCTTTATCCACAAAGGCAGCTATCCTATACTTAACAGTGCTAAAGCACAGCATAATACACAAAGCCTTTTGCTTGAAAACTGTCCACAAACAGCATTATATATGGACTTGACATGCCTTCTCCATCACTCTTTCCTGCATTTGAGCTCTTTTTTGAGACTAGAACTGCAGAGAAGGAGAGATTACTGCATGTCAGACTTCATTAATTGAGGATACCCACAAAATGGCTTTGTGAACCTCTAAACATAAAAGTTGGGTTCACAAAACTAGTTTGGATTCATGAACCATTTTACCTATAATTTAAACTCATGCAGTTTCCTTCTTCTCCCCCTCCCCTTGGAGATTTTCCTCCCCTTCTTTGTTATTTGGTAATCGGATCACTGGTTACTTGGTTTTAATACCTAGAGTCATGGCTGTATCCTTAAAGAACAGAAAGGTTAATAATTCAGTTTGGGACACATGATCAGCATACAGAAAGGAAGGGTATGTATATCCTAAGAGTCAAATCAGAAGCTAATCTCCGTGATCCCAATTCTCCTTCTTCCCAGGAGACACAAGGTAGAAGAACCTACATTCGTTACTGGGAATAATGATTTCAGCCATAGATTGATGATAAAAAAAAAGTGGCAATATGCCACTAGAGCATGTGACTGTAGCCCAGGAAGCCTTGAGCTCCCTCTCTATTGTCAATACAGTTGAATTGCAGCATTCACCTGACAACTATAGCAAAATTTACCTACATAATGTGTCCTCCTCAGCCACACAAGCTGGTATCAGTTTCCTAAAGGCTTTGACTCCAGATGAAGCAGAGAATAGTATCAGCATCCTGGAACTTTGCTTAGTGAGGCTGGCCCTGAGAGCCCTTCAATGAATCTTCTGGAAATAAAACATTTTTTCTGACCAGACAACTTAACCATGATATCATATGTAAATCAGCAGGGGCCACAATACGACTATTCTACACCAAGATCTTATACAGCTATTCCACTTGGCAGTTATTTACATCCAATCCATCAGGACACTGCACATAATAGAGGTGACATGCACAAAATCTGATGAGTTAATTAGTACTCTCTTGAAATTGTCGGTCCTTAAGCAGGTCTTAAAGTTAACGCAAGGGAAGATCCCAAGGTGGACTCTCTCACATCTGTGTCCAAACATCTTACAGAATGCATTTTCTCTGATCCCCTTTTCTGCCTTGGGTAATGAAGAAGATAAAACCAGGACACAAAGTCACCTTATAGCACCTTACTGGCGAAGACATAATTGGTTTTCTGACCTAGTTAAGATGTCAGGAGGAAACTAATTTTTTCCCAAATGGCCAGGACCTCATTCACTCAGGAGATGATACCTCGCAAAAACTTGACAAACCTAATCTTAGCAGTGTGGTTCGTAAGTAAAAAATGATAAGCCCATTATGTTACTCACCAAAAGTCATAAATATTCTCTTGTAAGCCAGGAAAATATCCATTAACAGAATCTACTGATGCCTGGGGTAGCTTTTAGGCATCATGCTAACAGAAAGCAAAGAGATCAGTTTCTTCCAGTTGCAAAAAATATGGAACTTCCTTAGGTTGATTT